AGCTCTTTTCTGAATTCATTCAGAAGTTTATCCCTATCTTCCTTCAGCTCTATGATTACCTTGTTTGTGTGTTCTTTAAATTCAGTGAATTCTTTTATCATATTCATCATTGTTTTTTTGAGTTCCATGTCCTGCATTGTCTCTAGGGGATTCTCATTGTGCTCCTCTAGAGGATTACTGGTATTTGGTGGGGATATGTTATTTTGGTTTTTCATGTTATTATTTTTTCTCTGTGATTTTGACATGTGAATTTCTTTTGTAGTTTCTGACTCTTGTGTGATACTCGGGCCTTCAAGTTTAGTTCTGCTTCTTTTATTTTTGAGCTTTATGTGTCTTTGTGGTTTACTTTTTGGGTATGAAGAGCTGGTTCGTCTTAGCTTCTGGTTCTCTCTTTTGATTTTATATTGTCGAGGCCGGATTGATTTTGTCTTCAGGAGTTCCGCGGTGGCCCAACTCCAATGTGGATCAGAAGTTTTCAGACTTTCTCCTTAGGTCTGGAATCTTCTAAGAATGCTTTTGGCCTCAGGAACTTGGGTGGCACTGACCTGAGACCCTTGCCGTGGATGCGCCACGCAGGGAAGCAAAGGCAGATGGGGAGGGAAGAAGCCCCAAGATTTCCCAGGGAGTGGATTGAGTAGCTGGGTTGTACTGGATGCAAAGGGTCGGGGGGAGTAAAGGTAAGCCTCGGAGCCCTAGAAAGAGGCTGTCAGCCCCAGAAAGAGGCTGGCGGGTGTTGGAGGACCAGGGAAGTAGAGCGAGGTGAGGGCAGGGCCAGGACCAGAAGTGGTGCTCCTGGAGCCCAAGAAAGGGACTGGGTTGCTCTGGGTGAGAAGGGTCAGGAAGCAGTATTGGTTCCCCAGGTGTCTGGGGCCCCAAGACTAGGAATGGTGCAGGGCCCAAACTAGGAATATAGAACGGCGGGAGGGATGGAAGGGTGAATGAGGCTTAGGGAGTCCCGGCGCGGAGAGCTGCGCTATAGACTTACCCCAAGAGGCCTGAGGATAGTAGTGCAGGCTAGGAGCCCAGTTTATATTTTTAAATACTATTCTGGGGGCTGTACAATCTTCCCACCTGACTACTTGAGGCATCCCCCACCCCTTAAAATGCTGGAATTCTGCATTAGTTAAGTTCATTACAAAAAATTAACTAGACAGAATTTTTCTATATGGTATAAAACATGTTATTTTGAACAGTAGGAATTTTTTTCTAATTTAAGCATTATGTTCATAGGTAATATTAATTTTTTTGATTATGCCACTATCTCACTGATTGTATAAAGATTAAAAATGCATAAGCTTATACAACATCTTTATTTTACCTGGTACAGTTCAAGATGGATGCAAGTACCAATAAAAGTTAACTTACCATATAATCCACGTACTCAAGCTAATTACAATACAATGGGACTCTGCTCCACAAATCTTGAAGTGCTTCAGTGAATGGTGGCTTTCTGAGTTTTTATCACATCCCTGAAGATGAACAGCATGCTATTTGTATGATTTCCACATGGGTTTATTTCAAGTACATCAAAGCTTAAATTGTACTCCAACATATTGAAAAATTCTGCTTTTGATTTCAAGCAAGAGGGAACAGTTTCAGAAAGTAATATCGTTTTACCAAATTTAATTTTTTTGCAAAGCGAGTATTTTTATTATATAATATTTATCTAAAATAATCATAAGCAATTCATTTTCTGACATTTAAGAATGTACATACCCTTGTCTTATATATTCTGGGATGTCAAGCATCCTGCTAGGCCATTAGTGTCCCTTCCCCAAACATATATTTTGCAGTTCTTCAACTCAACCCCTCTGAGAACTGAGATAGAGCAACTGCAGCAATTTCCCTGACTAGATAGGTAAGAAAATGAAATACTACATGACAGGAAGAAGTCAAGTCTCATGGATATTTCTGGGGAAGTTTTACACATTTATAAAAGGAAAGGAATACAATCTTCCCTTCCACTGCTGGGCTTTGGGGTTGTCCTATGGCATACAATGACTGAAGCACCTCCAGAACCCTGAAACTATGAAGCTATGAGATGATACAGTAGAGCAATAGAAGAAGGCTGTTTTGAGGGTTCTTTCTCTTGAATCATCTACTAACTCTGAAGTAACTATTTTGGTATTTTTAAAAATGTATTTCTTGCCAGGCGTGGTGGCGCATGCCTTTAGTCCCAGCACTCAGGAGGCAGAGGCAGGCGGATCTCTGTGAGTTCAAGGCCAGCCTGGTCTACATAGTGAGTTCAGGTCAGCTGGGGCTACAGAGAGACCCTGTTTCCAAAAAAAAAAAAAAAATGTATTTCTAGGGTCTGGAGAGATGGCTCAGTGGTTAAGAGCACTGGCTGCAGAGGACCTGGGTTCAATTCCCAGCACCCACATGACAGCTAACCTGTAACTCCAATTCCAGAGGATCTGATACCTTCTTCTGACCTCCGCGGGCAATGCATAACTCGGGTGCACACACACAGATGCAGGCAATACACTCATATACATAAAATAAAACTAATAAATACAATTAAAAAAATGTATTTCTAGGTGTGTGAACACAGGCAAGCTCACACCATGATGCTTGAGCAGTGTCACACACGTGAAGGTCAGAAGACAACTCTTGAGGGTCAGTTCTCACCTTCTACCTGTTGATGCAAGGTCTCTATTGTTCTTTCTGTCACTCTAATCTTTGAGTTTCTGGATGATTCTCCTATCTCCACCTCCTACATTACTGTAGGAGCGCTAGGATTACAGACATGTGCCACCACATTTAGCTTTTTACATGGGTCTCAGGCATCCAACTCAACAACTCAAGCAATTTTATCTGCTGAGTCATCTTTTTTTGGTCTTTTTTTTGAGAAAGTGTCTTTCTATAGTCCTACCTGGCCTAGAACTCACCATGTAGAACAGGCTGGTCTCAATCTTAGAGAGATCTGCCAACTTCAGCTTCTCCAGCACTGGGATTAAAGGCGTATGTTGCCAGAAACCGTTTAATAATTGCCAGCCATAGCATGAAAGAAAAACTTAACGATCTTTTCAAAACAAAACATGGTTTTCCACCTTAGCCCTGCCCTGGCCCCTTACTCCTACTCAGGCAACTTCCTTATCTTGCCTAACCACATGTCTTCTTAGAAAAACCCCCTCTGCCCTACTTTGGCAATCAGCCCTTAGTGGAAAATTCCACCAGAGCCTTTCTTCTTTCTTCTTTCCCCGCCTTCCACTCCCCCCGCCCTAACCCTACTATAAAAATATGCTGTGTGTACTCAATAAACGGAGCTTGATCAGAACACTGTCTTGCTTCCTTTCTTCGTGTTCCTTGTTTGTTCATTTCTTCTAGGACCCTCACTCGTCGTCCCACAGTAGAGGTGTCCCGCAGGTCGGGACAGTATGCCACCACACCCAGATTGCTGAGTCATCTTGCAAGCCCTATTTCTGGGTTTTCCATATGATATATTCATGTATATATATAAAGAATACACTTTTGTTTGCTTTCGTTTTGTTTTTTGTTCTTCTGGCTGTTTCATTTTGTGTCTGCTTACTTTTGAGACAGGGTCTCCTATCCCAGTCTGGCCTAGAGCTCACTATGTAGCTCAGTATGAACTTGCAGCAGTCTTTTGGCAACAGCCTTGAGCACTGGGATTAAAAGAATGTATTACTACCCTTGGTTTAAAGTATACATTTATTGGAAAATTCCTTTATTAGAGCTGGTGAGATGGCTCAGCAGATCAAGACGCCTGCTGCCAACAACCCGAGTTTGATTCCTGGGACCCACAGGGTGGAAGAAGAGAAACAACTCTCACAAGTTATCTGATCTCCACACAAGCACATGCAGACACATACACATGTACAAAATAATAAATAAAAAGGTATAAAATATTTTTTAGCCAGACATGGTGGTGCACACCTTTAATCCTACTTGGGAGGCAGAGACAAGGTGAATCTTTGTGAGATCGAGGTCAACCTGGTCTACACATTTTCAGGCTACCTGACACAGGGATCCTGTGTCAAAAAAAATTTTTTTTAAAGAAAATTCCTTTATTATGTACAACAGTAAGGTAAATTATTTTGAAAAAAAAATAATAGTGTCCTTTTGGGGAGAGAATAAAAGGAATGTAAAAAGTTAGGTTCATTTCCTAAATTTTAAAAAGGTCCAGATATGAGAACAAGTAGGTTATACTCCCTTTCAGAGTATTTATGACCCACACGCGATTACTTTCTAAACATGGCATACATTTTACTTTAACTTAAACATTTCTAAGTTCATCTTGGAATGTCAATCTAAATGTGGAATAAGTCTATTTTAAGTCCTATGTATGACAAGTTCAACTCATAATAGGCATTTTAAGGAAAACATAAGACATGTACATAAATAACACTTCTCTTACCTGAAACCCACATTTGAGGCACAACCAAACATCAGTAGGAAGTACTGGCTGCCCATCATAGGATATTCTTTCTTTTAAACATTCTGAACAAACTGACCACAGATTCGCAGCTATTGCTTTCTTCACATGACTCACACTGATAGCATGACTTACGTGTTGGCATGTTAAACCTACTGAATGAGATGTAACAAAATGAAAACATTTCCTTTGCTAAACCAAAGTACTACCATTAGAAAGTAAAAGTCCACACCACTAATATGATGCAAAATAAAAAGCAAGATTCATTAGGATATATATTATGTAAATCTACTTATTCATGACATAAAATAATTATAGAAGAAATTAGTGGTTTCTAGAGGGATGGATGAGGGAAGGGTGTAGATATACATACAAGGAAGCAATGGTCACACCAACACACATACACTTTTTAAAGTACACGTAAACGACAAAAAAAAAAAAAGGAAAAAAAAGTACATGTGAATCTAGTGATATCTAAGCTAAGGACTATTCCATCAGTATTGATAATATACTACAGCAATGCAAGATATTCACATCAGGAAAGGACAGATAAAGAATAAATGGGCATTCTTTATCTATCTCTTCGTATCCTTCATGTTAACCTAAAATTAGTTCAGGGCTGAGAGTGTGGCACATGCCTTTAATCCTAGCATTTGGGAGACAGAGCCAGGTACATCTCTGTGAGAATGAGGCCTACACAGAGAGTTCCAGGCCAGCCAAAGCTACATAGTGAGACTCTGTCACCAAAAAAAAGAAAAAAGCAAGAAATTAAAATTCTTAATAAACTTAGAAATAAGTGGATAGACCCAAATGAAATCTATTAGCTTTCAATGTCTCAGCCAAAGACTAAGGATATTGCTCTATGTTAGAGTGCTTGCCTAGCATGCATGAGGCCTAAAGTTTATATCCAGAACTCAAAAAACAGTTCAGTTTTTCCTACCATTTAAACAATATTTATTATATCTTTTCTGGGGAGATATGAACAATTTCTTTTTATGTTATTAAGTTCTTCAGTTTTCTGTAATTATATAATTATTCAAAATTCAAATGACAAATAGATTATGTGGAGATTCCTGAATATAAAATTGTAGTAGTCTTAAGGAGTTTTTTTTAC